GGTAAAGAACTGAGAAGTGAAAACAAGATATTATGTCACTATTTGAATTATAGCTATCAAAAATAACTCAATATTTGATGAACTAACAAGGTATGCTACAGCCATGGGTACACTTGACAATATTTGCCTTAAAATATTGTTTAAATGTTTAAGTAAGTAATAACATAAATAACTTAAAGTTATTTTTCTTGCTTGAATAATGTGTTCTCAAAATGCACAAGTTGCAAAGTTTTGCTAGAATAAAAAAACAAGTATAGAAGTATATATGACACCCTATGTTCGGAAAAGTGAGGTACAAGATGATCTCTAATACTGAATGTATAATAGTTGAAGACAAACTTGGAAGAATAGATACTGACTGATTATGTGAACAAGTTTATAAAGTAGGAAAGTTTGGAGATATATTAACATATCACCTTAATTCACCCTCACCCTTGACCTTAGTCAAGGATATTAATCTGACAATTTTTCATCATCATTAATTCAGCAATTGCTATCTTTAGTCTTATGTACAGTCTTAAATGTGCCACATGAATGGGTTTCAATGACTGGAGAAACTTTTCAAATTACACTCCCTAGGAAATATAGAAATGTGTAAGGGCATGACTTGAATGATTTTGTTATATTACATAATAATAATCAGAACAGAAAGCCATGTAGTAAGTTTCAAAAACCTTACTTAATTTTTATGAGTTCCTATATACCCAAAGGAAAATCCCTAATATTTTTATACTCTTCAAAATGAATACATATGAAAATATTCTGAGTGACAAGAAACCCACAAATATGTCAAAATACGTGAATACTTTTTCAACACATTACAAATGAACATGAGCATTCCTGAATGCAGCTTAACACACACTGTAACCAGAATACTTAGCACAGAGCCTGTGGTGCCCAGAATAGTGGTTTACAATTGAGACACCTCAATAAATCTGAATGAACTCAAATATATAGAGAATGCATTAATAATTAATTATTTTATTTTTTTTTTTGCCAAACCTGGCACTTAATATATTAGAAATGGAGGACAGCCTATAGAAACAGGGCTTAGGCCAGACAGATATTCTTGATGTTTTCATACTGGAAGATAAGAAATGAAATAAATTTGAATTCAAATTATTTTGTGAATCAGGTACTATTTATAAATACCTGGAGGCAAATGGACAAATAGAATGTTTTCAGAAAATAGGTGACACCAATACCATCTTTTTATTGGTATGAATGTTATCATAGCAATTCCTACAAATTCCATAACAGTACATAAATTATAAAGAAAATATGTCTGGAGCCAGGAAATCAGCATTACAATATTGATTCACTGTATGACTGCTAGACACTTATTCCTTCTGAATTCCATAGTCATTAAAACAGAGAATACTCTTATGAGATACAAAAATGCTAATGAACTAACAGAAAGTAATGAACAAAATGGTAAAAATTTCCAAAGTTCTAAAGGCACACTCCAAATTCTGTATTAAAAGTGATTAGATTATATTTAAATCCTGTATTAAATATATATTATATACTTAAATATTTTAAAATATATAATTAGGGCAAAGAAATTTTGTGGATCAATTGCAAAACCTAAGTATAACAAAATGTCTTTATCCAGCACACAATTGCATACCAAATGATGATTTGGGAAAAGTCCAGGAAAAAAATGAGTATGCGTGAAATGGAAACTTAATTCATTCTCATTAAACCATATAACTTTTTCAGAATATTCTGGACCACCAATTAAATATTAACTTCTTATTCCATAGAATTAAAACTATATCACAAATGAGGTGCTATTTATAACAGAAATCATAAGTATAATGACCTTTCCCTTTGCTTGTAAAATGTTGCAAAATAGAAATTTGCATATGTTCAGTTAAAATAGTCAAGAGAAACATACCTAAATGCTCAGGAATAGGATCAAGATTGACAACAGACTTAATTTATAAGTACTTTTTAAAATTTTATGTGTGAGTAGCATAATGATCAATGGAAAGGACTTTGTACTTTAATAATCTCTTCAATGAGAGTGGCAAGATTACATTCTGGATTTAAGACTACAAATAGTCAATGTCACTGAAACTTTTGTTTTACTCTATAAGTAATTTTATTCTGTGAGTAAATTCTAATTCATGAAGTATCGCTGTATAAACAGTTATAGACTATGTTATATCAGTTCAATGATTATTGTGAAGGCTGTAAATTCATTTTTTAATTTAAATTTAAAAATTTTCCAGAATACCCATTAGTTATCCAGTGATTGAAAATAATTAGAAATTCTTTGAAAAAGTCAAAATACCTTATCTCTAAATGGTTTTACATTGTAAGTTGTACTTTTCCTGAAAAAAAAAAAAAAACCACAGGAGATATTAAAATCCTTTTAAGTTAATACACATTTTAAAATGCAAGAATGAGATGATTTTTAACAGAAAAATTCAAAATATGTGAAAATCAAACAGACAAAAAAGTAGAAAAGATCTCATAATTATTATTCTGTGAAACTGGAATTAAAAACATTATAACCATAAATTCTTACTTGAAAATGTTCAAAATGTAGCATATCTACATTTTTAAAGTAATGTTTGTGTTTCTTATAAGGTTGCTAATTCTGAGAAGTTTCAGGTTCAGTTTTCTGGTTTTAGCTTACAGTAAGTTTTAGGTAACTATAAATGTATATAAAGAATGCAAGAGTGTTTATAAAGCATAAATGTTCTTTAAAAGAAAATGCGTTTTTAAATTTATTTATAATCTCTTCTGTTATACTTAAAAAGGCATAAATCTCCTTCTCTTCAATAACAAAATCATCAAAAGGTACAGGAAACAAACATATGACATGTATTAACTTGTTAAGTAATAGTTTCAAATATAGTTGGACCATACATGAAAATTTAAATCATTTCTATCAGTGTAAATCTCTTACATAGGAAATACAAACTTGCACAGTTTATGAACATAACCTGAAAGGACTAGTTATAAAGCTCCTGTAAGTCCTTTTACTATAACTAAGAGAAATATAACAGGAGCTTTTTCTAAACCTTCTTATCTCAGTTTGTTGATTCTGACACTTGTATATATTTATATTTGTTCATCTCAGAAAAGTAGCTGCTTTCTCATACCTATTTTAATCCCAAATCAAAGCTTTAATCTATTCATTGTTAAAATGAGTGATAAAGAACTAATCAATTTCAAACCCACAACAAACAAATAAGCATAAGCGAGTTCAAACATTGTTAGAAACCCAAGGTTGATTTGAGCATTAAAGTTACCATAATTTTAACAAGTTAATGTTTAGCAATTTCTTTTCCATGAACTCTGTTGTGCGGTTTTATCATATAATGAGATCTTGCTTAATAAGTTTGGCTTTTCTCATAAGTGAAACGATTTAAAAAAAAAAAAGGTAGAACATACTTTCTTTAAAATGAAGCCCCCCCGCAACATACCTTCCTGCCTAGCTGAGTTCGCTAAATCAAGCTGAAATAACCTTAATTCCCTTAGCCGTTGCCTACTGCTCTAAGGAAGATGATAGAACAGTACTTTTACTTTCTTTTGTTCAACAAAAACAACCACCACCAACAATCTTATCCATACAATAATAAAAAGCTACAAACTAGCCCTGCTTCTTTGAGTCTTAAATGAGCTGAGAGGAATGGTCCAACATATTCATGGGGAAAAAAAAAATGAAGTGCATCACATCAATGTGAGAATTCACTTAAAACTTCTGATGAGAACTTCCTATTCTTGGAAAACATAACAGCACATTTTTTAAAAATTGTATAGAATCATTTTTTCAAAGATATGCAAAGAAAAGTAGATTAAGAATGCTGTATTTGCCTTTGGACTAATTAAATCTGCCCATAAACTACAAAAACCATGGTGGAGGGACAGGGTGCTGCCTGCTACTGGTCCTAGACTTTAGCGACACACATATTTGCGTATTTCCACCTTATTTTGGCTCTACTCTCTTTGCAGTATTAAGCCTAATGAATCTTCCCTTTACTTCTTCTTTTTCTTCTTCTTCTTGTCTTTTCTCCTTTATTGAAGTGTACACTTCTCAAGAGATAGCACTACACGGGAGTCAGCACTGCAGGGAGGTTTTGTAGCGAAGAGGAGATTTGAAAGAAAGTGAATAGGTATAACCCTGCACCACCTCAATGCTCAGCACACCTCCCACCAATCAGGAGTGCTCTTCCTACGAGGATGCTGAAACACGGAGCTCTGGGGTCCAGTGAGAACCTCGCAGCGACTGCATGGGTTCTGTCTGTCTAGCATGTTTCCTGGTGGCCCTGATTGTACCCTGAGGCTAGTCCCTCACACTTATCTCCAGCCTCTTTTGAGTGTATAGCTTAAAGTTGACAGCATGGGGGGCTGGAGTCACTCTTTTAAGCTTAGTACGGACAACTTCTCACTAGAGAAGTTTGCTACCAGTCCTTCAGGAGACCGCCGAGTACAAACTCCTCCTGAGACCATCACTCAGCCCCGCCACTTGCTCCGTGCCACTCGCCACATGGCTCCCTGCCTCCATCAGAGACACCCACATCCTCATTCACCTTCATCTTGCTAAGCCGAAAAATGTTACGGGGTTACTTGGGTTAGGGTTTTCTCCGTTTCTTTCTTAAGAAAGAGGTCCTGCTGGCACAATTTGCTTCAAATGAGGAGACATTGTGGTAATCTTCAGCGTTATGGGGTGAGGTGCAGTCCGGAGCGTTGGCTAAGTGTCAGGCAAAGCCCTGGATTACAGCTTCCCTAACATTCCTGCCTCTTCTACACCTAATTCTCACCCCACGCCCACAAAAGAAATAAATAAGTGCATTATAAACCAAATGGAAAACCGAACTGAATCTCGACACCTTCAAAATCTCACAGTAACCTCAATCCTCCTAATGTCCTCTTAGGAGAGAGACACACGGGGAGGGGGAGAAAAAAGGGGGGAGGAGAGAGAGAGAGAGAGAGAGAGAGAGAGAGAGAGAGAGAGAGAGAGAGAGAGAGAGAGACGCGATTACCAGAGTTTTGTTCCCGTTCTTGCTGAGAGGGCCCCGGAAAACTCCCTTGATGTTGCGAAAGTGTCCGTTGCTGAGATGCGTGGAGCTGATGACAATGTAGTAACACTCCATGGGGCAGCCGCCGCCTCTTCCACCGCAGCCGCCGCTTCCACGCGCCCTCACCCTGTGCCCGCAGTGGCAGCGCGCGCCGGAGCCTGGGGAGGCTGGGCTGGGGACCCGCCGGGAGGGCGAACCGCCGCCTCTCTCGCACGCCCTCCGGAGACAGGCTCACTACACCCCTCTGCCGTGCGCGCCCGGGCTCCTCCGCCTCCGCATCCTCGCCACGCTCTCCCTCAGTCTCTGCTTCTCTCCTAATTCGCCTTGGGGCGCTGCGCCCCGCAGGAGGATCGCGGGCTGGGAGGGGCCGGCCAGGCTGGAGGACCGCGCGGCGCAGGAGTCAGTGCCCGCGCGGCGGCCGAGCGGAGCTGGGCAGCGGGAGCCGCCTGAGCCGCAGCGGCGGCAACGGCAGCGGCGGCGGCGGCAGCAGCATCCCCCGCGCTCGGTGCCCGCACTCGGAGTTGCCGCTGCTGGCAGGCATGAGTGTTATTATAGTGAGCGGCGTTGCCGGTCCATTGCACTGAGCCAATGGCAGGGAGCCACTGGGCTGATACTGAGAGCTGTCAGAGGAGTACATCTGTCACCCGCTGCCTCCCCCCCACCCCCTGCCCACCCCCTTCGGCGCCGCCGGGACCCGGTGGCGCGGGTCCGTGAGCGAGTAGGAGCGCGCAGCGAGAGGGACGCCCCCTGCGCATCCCCGCGACCGCAGAAGGCCGGGGACCAGAGCGGCACCGCGGGCCGGAGGTGGAACGGTCCGCCACCGAGAAGTGGGAGACTCCCATAAGGTGGGGGCGGAGGGGAAGATGAAGAGACAGAGATTTCTTGCCTGGCATTCGGGGTTGGGGGAGGCGGCGAAGGGGTATAAATAAATTAATAATTCAATACCAAAAGCCAATTTCTTCCAACTGCAGCGTATCCAGGCCGGTGCCAGAAGCTGCCTGCCTCTCTCTCTCTCTCGTTGTTACCCTTTAGGTTTGGCTTATTTGATTTTGTTTTAATGTATTTTTAGTTTGGAGGCTGTTCAGAATGTTACAGAAAGAAAATGCCCCCCCCCCCCGTCCCCTTTTCCCATTTGTAGAGATTGTAAGTGCTTGTTTTGATAGTTTGGGCGGGGGGAGGGGAGTTGTGGCGATGCGAGTGGAAGTGGATAGGCAAAACCCGGCATTCCTGGTGTGTGTGTGCTTCGACCCAGCTGGCGTCCCCCTCACCCACCTTCCCTGAGAACGTGGGGTCTTCCTAAATTGCCAAAGCTAAAAGGAAAGGGATGCTTTGACGCAAAGAAGCTGTTGCCACAAGCTTGCTTTGCATTTCTCTGTAGTTCTTTTCCCACTACAGAGACTGGTAGCGAACAAAAGCGTTCGCCCTAGAAGCGACCTCAATGGAAAATCTCCTGCGAAGGAACTAATGGGCTGCTTAAGGGAAAATAGGAAATGGGGTCTGGTGTGTTCGGTTCCCTGAGGACAGATTCTCCAGCTGATTTTTAAGGGCCAAGGAAGCAATCGGCCTGGATGTGCCCTGCCACCCTCCCTCTCACCCAGCTGATTCTTTCTTTGTGTAAGTTTAAATCCTCTGAGGTGGTAGGGTGAGAGCATCCCGTCAGGTATATATAAGATTCATTAGTCTGCACTTAAAAAGATCGATTAACAGACAGTGGGAGGCTAGGAGATGGTGCCTTCAATGAATTTGCTGAAGGCTTTATTTTCCTTTTGCTTTGAATGGCTTAATTGGTTAAAGCAGATTCCAGACATTCTGGTGCTCCTGCGTCAGAGCAAACTGCACTTTGATATAAACCGTGTTTATCTTGTTTATTTGAGGGTCAAGATTTCGAGATATTCCATTCATGATGTCCTATACATAAGATTTTATATAGCAGTGACTCTGCACACCATAGTATACGGTCCTCAAATGAACCTGCCAGTTAGATTTTACTCTGAAGGAGGAAGAGAGACAAATATTTATGAAAAGAGGCAATAGTTATGTGAGTAAATTATAACCTATAGGGGTAGAAGACGCGTGTGCTAGATTCATTTAAGGACACTCTCCTTGTGCCATGCTTCAATTTAAACAAAGAAAAAAAGTTGGTGCAGATTGATCAAAGCTCATTATGAAGTGTCAGAGTTATTTAGAGGTACTTGGTTAAATTTCTCAGATATCCACTTGGGGGAGTCTGGAAATCTTGGGAGAAAGCAAAAGCAAGAATCTACAAAACTTCTATACTCTGTGGAATAGGTCACCTAACAATTTGGTAGAATTCAGTATGAATACAATACTATTAGAAAAAAATTTAAGTGATCTCCACTAATTATTGTGTAAAATTAAATCTATCTGGGGCTCATTACAGTTATTTTTCATTATACTTTGAGGATGGATGTAGGCATTCTCTGGAAACATCATTTTGGGAACAACTAATGACCTGTGTGATTTCCATTATGTCTTTTGAAGTTTTGGAAACGTGCAATTATTAAACAGAAGATACAATCTTCCCTGTTACTGAACCAAACCAGGGAGTATTTTAAGGAAATGGAAGATGCCCCATACATGAAAGAATCAGATAATGTAGTTTCCTTGTGTGTGCAAGTCATAAGAGTCTCAGCAAGGTTTGCTGTGGGTTTTTCTGCAATATTTTTCTTTCAAAATACTTCTGACAAAATATTCAGATCTGTATCTACATTATAAAGCTCACTTTCTGGTTCAGGAATCAGGATCCACAGTAACATGAACTGTACTATGGAACAGAGTATCATCTATATGGAATGCCATATTGTGTTTCTACTGGCAATATTTATATATCATACATTTTTCATATCTTATGATATATATATCATAAAAATAAGCTTTAGTGGAATACCTTTATAATCTCTGAAAAGAGTCATTTTACTCTTAGAATAGTCCACTTTTGTCTACATGTCACTTTTGCTATATGATATGATAGTGTAGCTTTTGACTGTCTCATCTAAACCTAAACATAAATGACAGTAAACACAGATAAATTTGCTGACAGTACATGAAGGATGCTAACAATTAAAAAGTAAGTTTTTTGCATAAAATTTTTCTCATTATTTCTCTACACATGAAGTAACTTATCTTAAACCTAATACTAATCAACCAGATTCTGTGCTATGCCTTGAACATATTTCAAAAGAGAATACAGGTTCCTTTTGTTTACCCCAACCAAATAACCATAACTGTAATGGTCATTCAAATAGAACTGGTAATCACATTGTATGATGCTCATTATGCCATTACCAATGCTCTCTTGCCTGTGAACTCTTTATCACATCAACCTTAATATTCAGGAGAACAATTAACCACCAAAATATGCTGTCTGGTGTCTAACTACAACAAACAGCTATTAGACATAGTGGAATTCTTATATCAAAACATAAAAGATCTTTCATTTGAATTTTGTTAAAAATGAAGTGAGAAGTCAAGAAGGAAATCAGGACTTCCCCATCATCTCAGAAAGAAAACATAGTTTTATGTGGCAATAAATTAAAATAAAAAAACAGTGGTAAACTACTGTGCCCTTCCATCTTGCTGTTTCTGTTTCTTACCTTTTGTCATGATGCAAAAATAGAAATACATAAGTAAGCATCTTTAAATTTTCTATTGTGTTACAATCTCTTTTATATTCATGATTTCTTCCCATCATTTAAAAGAATTCTGATTTCTATTTTTAGTAATCATTTTGACATGAATTATTTCTATGGACAACATCATCCTAATTTTTAAAAATAAAAAAAAAGATTCTCTCAATGACTTGGAGAATTTATATGAGGTTAAATAACTGCTGTTGTAAACATGCGGAATCAATATATCTTAATGAGAAAATATATTTTAAAGTATTTATAGATCAATGGAGTTTAATTACCAACTTTTCAGCTGAAAAACACAATTCATAATTTAAATATAAAAGTTTTAAATGAATGATTTTATTCTAAAAAGTTACAATTCATTTTTTTTTGCCATCAGTACACTTCAATTTTAGCCTTTCTACAAAGTACAATCACCTTGTCAATTTTTCCCCTTCTACAATTGCAATTTAAATCAGGATTTCCTGTGTTCTGAGCTTGTGCTGATTTACTTTCCTCCCTGTCTCTCCTCTTGCTTTGCTTAACCCAAATCTGGGCACCAGGTTTCCGTTCAGCATCTGAGCATTGTTCCTGACCCACTTTTGCCTCACACACAATTTCATTTCAAAATGACATCGTTGCTGTGAACTGTAAAACCAAGGTCCTGCTACTTTTCCCAGACAGGTGGCTGGACCTCTCCATCTTGAATCTCTGTCCTGATTCTCTCTATCCAGATCTTCCAGAGGAAAGTAAATCATCCCGGAGTTTGCCTACTGATATTTGAGACCATATGTTGCTTCCCCTACATTACTGAACATCTACTTCCTATCTTTACAATCTCTGGATGCTTTTATTCTGTTAGTCTACGTAACTTCACTGAATGAATGATCCACAAATTAGAGCCACTTCTGAGTCCCAGCAGCTCTGCCCTACCTTAGCCTTTGTGAACTAAGTTCCTGTTTCTATGTCATCCTGAAGGAAAAAAAAATCATAGTTCAGTTATTGCAGTGTTTTACAAATGTGCCTGTGATGTATTCTTGGTGCTTACAGAGTATATTATTGGGATTAAAAACTTTATTTTTTATTACTATAATAATCTTAACATAATAGGCATTTCTTGGTTATTTATAGAACCATATAATATAATGATAATTTGTAACTTTGACCTGTTACTATATGTATCTTGTTTGCTTTCATGTTGTGATCTCATTGGTGTCAAGTATTACTGCTTTTATTGTTTTAGGAATGAGGAAAAATTTAGGAACTTAACACAGAAATGTTTTGTTTACCCTAAGATGCAACTGAATGATATTGTGACATGCTGCATGGGGGAAGGTGTGGCATAGCTAAATTCAAGAAAAGTGGAGGGAGAACTGTATCCCCAAAGAACACTCATATTCACCATAATCATCAGATATGCTTATATCAGTATTGGCACACCAG